AATCCGCCCTGGAATGGTTTTCGGTTGGAAATTCTGGTGTTGGACAAATTCTGAAGATGAGAAACACGAGACAAGTTTCCATTTTAATCCATCTTCAAGTGAACTTTGAAGTAGAACTCCACACAAACAAACATGATGCGTGTGACTTGGCGAACTCGTTACGATTTCATCCCACGCTTTCTCATTATACCTGGAGTCCCATCTGAGTCAGCTGCGAGATGAATCACTCAGGACTCGGAAATTAGTTTCCCTTGCCTTTCTCCAAACACAGACGTGTTCCGCCTATTAGTCGACTCAACGAAATTTCCATACGCAATCAACCGAACTAGAAGAACAAAATATAATCCGAGAAACTCCGAGCAAGACAATCCTGCGGGAATTTCGGCGTTCGCTGGCTATGGTTGGCTGTTTTGAAAATCCGCTCTTTTTTCATTTAATTTTCATACGTCCCGTAAATAACAGTTTTCGTAGTCCATGTAACAATGTTTTGAGTCGCAAAGACGCATTCTGTACATAGAGGACACCTAACTGTAAAACTCTGGAATAAGCGAATTAATGGCCATGAAGATATTTTTCCGGTATGAGCACAATTGCTTGCATACAAAAGTCACACTCTGCGGGGAAATATATCATTGAACTAAAGTAATTCGAAAGAATTACGAAGTTCGACGCCCTCATGAATATTTCACGAGAAAAAATAATAATGTAGGTTGATCTTCGCTGGACTCGCTTTTCCGACGGATAATTAATTCAAAAACCTCTGGATCGTGAAATTTCTCATTACCTGAAGATAATGGCTGCAAAAACTCATTTTAAATGTTTCAAAAGAAACACAGTCAACGTCTTTTAAAACAAAGTAAGACCCTGTTAAGTTAGTGCTGATCTGAGGTCATTAAATTTGCTCAACAAAAATGAGCATAATGTATTTTTTTTTTTTCAAGGTTTAACACTGATTTTTTATGGGTTTCGCAAACACTTTTCGTGACGCAGTTTTACTCTCTCCATAAAATGTTTTAAACAGTAATATACTCGTACAATACAGGGCAACGGATTTGTACAGTATAGTGGTCCTAGTTACTCATCGTAAAGTCTTTCTATAAGTGCAATGGAGGGACAACTTCTGTGCAATAATATTTTCGTTACGGAAAAGGAACTTTCTGTTCCATATGAGTCTATAGGCTCTAGAGATCAGTGTTCCCCAATTTTTTTTTGGCACGCGGATGACCGGCAAATTTTCACAAATAGTTTTTTTTTGCGGACCAGCAAAGCTCCATAAAAGTTCTGCAAACCAGCAGGGATATTTTAAATGCGTGCCATGAAGTTCCCCAACGGAAACTTCCACTGCAAAAATATGTCAAGAATCAATGAAGCAGCTATAGTGGAATGTCTTCAGAAAATTAGAATGGTAGTTTCGAATAAATGTTTCTCAGAATGAAAACTTGAAATAATTTATTTCAGCTGGTGAAAATGTGTCTGAAGCTATTATAGGAGAAAGGGCAACTTTTCTTTGCATCAGATAATTTCAACTGCCATTGCCTTTCCCAGATTTCAGATAAAGATATTGAACTTCACTGCGACTTTTGATAAACTTTTTATACTGAAGAACATTTTCTGCTGAGTGGCAAAAACCATCTGAGGACCAGGGTCAGTCTGCTGACTATGGGTTGGGGAACACTGCTCTAACCTGTAGAGGAAAATATTCGTTGCTTTTACCTGGTTAGATTAGGCTTCTTTGCTATTATTCAAATGAAACGCCCTTAGATTCACAACTTTGCATGAGCTTCGCAAAAGAGCTCTGATATTGTATCGCATCCCGGAAAAGTAAACGTCATGCATTTAGAACCATCAAGCGTCTCTGTTGACATACATTCAAGACTGTGAGGCAAGTTAAAGCTGAAATTAGACGTGGCATCTACCTGATACTAAACGTAACTTATGAAAAGCGGGGAATTTATTCATGAAACACGTCCATGAAATAACTGCTTGGCAATAACACGGTTCTCTCCCGGGAGTGGAAAATCACGATTTATGCCAGTTTGCCGGAATGTCGGCAGTCTTGACACTACGGTGATGGGCCCTGAACTCGCCTTTTCCTCCTTGTTCGAAGACGTCAGGCGCCAGTGCAGTCGGAATTAATCCATCCGTCAAGGGACGCCAAACGGGAAGCAATTTGAGTGATGCCTGCAACAGGGTTGCTGTTTTTTTTTTGTGTGCTGAGCGGGTGTGTCTGGTTCCGTTCGTCATCCCCCCCACCGGAAGGAAGAGCTGCTCTGGGGCTTGAATTGTCCCTGTCAACATAGCCCTGCTCGTCGGGCGTGTCTCGTTTTTCTCTCGCTCGCATTGCTACGTCGGGGGATATATTGCAGCGGGGATATCGAGTTATCCTTCGCCGAGATTTTATTAGTTCTCCGGCGTGTGTATAGCTAGCTAGCTATATACTGAAGCTGGCTCTGTTTGTGAGAAACCATGCGGGAAGGATACGATGAAGGGTCTTGGGATCAAAGCGGGCTTTTGATTTGTTTTTAAACCGTTTTATTTTTTGATTTTTATCATGGGCCAGGAGGAAAGTGGCGGCTGGGGTTTTTGATTTTCTAGCACCTGTAGAGGAATTTTAAAATTTTGAAGGCTCGATAGAGAATCTTTTTTTTTGTTTTGCAGGCTTCAGGACTTCCGGGTGCGCGCCGGAATAATGCGAAATTTGCGGGGGTCCCGAATAATTTCAAATTTTCTTCAGATTTCTTTGATTTATTTTTGCCGGGGGGCATTTGCATGTTTTTGCATGAGGGAAATATTCTTTCAGCAGCGCAAAAGTCCTTTAAAAGTACTGTGGTGTATCATAATTTTCATTTCCTCCCGGTCGTTTAAAAATCCAACAACGAAGCGGATTGCGTGGGGCTTCAAGGGGAGGCATTTGATGAAGTTTACAGTTTTGCAAAGATTTTAATTTTTTTCAATATTCGAAGATTCTTTCAAATAATCCTTGTACTCAAGCAATTCATTTTGAACCTTTCGACGTCTTGGAAAATTTCATAAAATTGTCCGCAATTTTCGGTATTTTCGAAAATTCAAGGTTATCCGATTCAAGACGATTCTTTCGAATAATCTTGTTTCAAGTGATTAATTTTTAACCCTTCGGAATTTTGAAAAATGAAAGTGAGCATTTGCCTTTTTCGTTCCTAACTTATCAAAAGTTTACTCTGAACCCGAACAACTATCTCTAATTTGTAGATTCTGAGGAAATGAGAGCAGAGCGAAAAGCAAGGAAAAGATCCCGATTTTACTGAAAAATTCCCATGCATGTCTAAAAACATCCGAACTTCCGGACATCCAGATTTTGAAAAATCTAAGACCACGAACAGGAACAGGTCTTGTGAGCATTTCCTGCTCGAAACGGAAATCTCAGATTCTTGCATATTTAAAATGGAAAAGAGGTGCTTTCCACGTGTTTCTCTGCGAGGTATAAAGGGGCTTCCAGGATGAAAGACCTGGCATTGTCTCAGAAACTAAATTTTAATGACGAGCAAGTTTTCTTACTTTTCTTTTCACGTTAAATTCTCCGATTGTGTTCGTAATGAGCCGCAAGCTGTTGCCCTAGAAACCTGATTTTTTTTGCCCTGTCCTTCCGCTCTGGAAAGTGCACGTGATGCAACATATTCTCCGAGGGCGACTCAGCAGTTCTTTGCTGCCATTCTCAGCAGGAATCCGATTGTCTCCTGCTGATTGTGACACTCTTGTTTTCCTTCTGTGGACAGCAAACAACTTTTTTTCTTACCCTTGGGTGAGGTGTTCCCGTAACTCAGCAGTTCTTTGCTGCCATTCTCAGCAGGAATCCGATTGTCTCCTGCTGATTGTGACACTCTTGTTTTCCTTCTGTGGACAGCAAACAACTTTTTTTCTTACCCTTGGGTGAGGTGTTCCCGTAGATTCCGGGAGCACAATAAGAGCAGAATATTGAAAATAACAAAATAAATGAGTTTTTTAGTAGAATAACTTTAAACCATGCGTTGCGAAAACCGAAAGTTGAGGCTCGGACCGAGAAGCACGTGCTTCAGGTCCTTATTTTCTTCAGACAATGCTTTTCTTTCTTTAAGATATTTTCTCTTCTTTTTGAGCGATAACTTCTGATGCCGAAATTGCCAAGGGAAATCTCGCTTCAACGAATACCGTTACATCAAAGTTGTTTTCTTTGGAATCCCTTTTGTGAGCGTTCATCCTCTCAAAAGGTTTCTTGAAGCACGTGTCTCATAAAATACGAAAATTGTTCGACGAAGAATTGAACTGAAAAAGTTTGAGCAAATGCAATTTTACTTCTTCACGATTTTAGAAATTGCAGCGGTTTTTTTTCTCGAGGCATTGTAGATAATAAAGTCTTTAAATTTTCGAATGGGAAAGCATGGAAGGTTTTCAAGTGCATGTTTAAATGTCTGTGTTTATTTGGCGGGCGAGGAAAAAACGACGGTTTTTTTTTTTTTGCTGTGAAAGTTATTACCCACGAATGTTATAAGATCAAGGATAGCCGGAATTGACCTGATATCAAAATGCTCTATTCTAAGGTGCACTTCGAGGTCAAATTTTTCTCCAAACCTCCATCTGAATTCACTTGGAAGCAATGCATTAAAATCCTTTCTCACTGGAAGGTTTTTCCTCTAAAAACTCAATAGCTCGGATTTTTTATGTCTTACTTTATTTCCTTGACACAAGAAAGATACATGCAATAAAAAAGTAACTTGAATTGTTTTGCAAGGAAGTGAAAGGCTAATTGAGCAAATGAGCCTCTGCCTCCAAGTTCAGCATCCTGTAAGCTAATTTAAGAAGTAATTTAAGGCCCTGAATATCACGGATAAAAATTTTCTCCACTTCTTCTATGTTTCCCACAACAAAAAGTACTGCTTCTCTAACCCAAAACCTCCCGAACTTGAAACCTCCCCAATTTGAAACATTTTCCTGGTCCCTTGAAATTTGACTTGGAGAGGTTCGATAGTGTGTGTTGCATTTTTGAAAGTTTTCTTTTCTCTATTGCAGGTTTTTTTTTAAAGCATCGTGAAATATTTCGCGGAGTCGTTCCGGCGTTTGAGTGGTTCAGATGAGTTGATTTCTCCCCCTGCGTCCGTGTGACCCCCACAATAAAAAAAATAAATAATGAGGACATTCAAGCAAAAGTCTTCGGACTTGACGTATTCCACGTCCGGGCTTCGACCAGCGTCAACATCGGTCACCCGAGCCCCGAAACCCTCGGCGCAACCCGGCCCGAAATGGCGCCCGACCCGCCACCACTCCCAGCACCAGTACAGTCACTACGCCTCGTCGCCGCATCTGTTCGTGTTCCAGGGCGTCGATGACGATGACGTCAACTCAGACGACACGAATCCCAAGCACGACGAGTTCAGAACGACGGTCGTCGGGATACCGAATTCTTACACGGATTACCAGATTTACTCCTCGACGAACGACGTACAACGACGCTCCTCGGCCGCAGTGAAACGCATAACTGAGCACTACGACAGTGTGCGACGACTGGCGGATAGAACAGCGTCACTGGACCTCGTCGACGCTGTCGGTGACGATGACGATGTCCCGGGGGTCGTGGAAGACGGGGAACTGATGCTGAGTGAACGAGACGTGACGCGGATCGAAGCCTTTTTCCGGGCGCTCAAAACCTCCGTGTTCGTGTGCCGGTCTTTGGCGAATTTGTATGTCGGTGGGATCGACAGTAGAGTGTCCAACAGAGGCTGGGGTGAGAGGAAGTTCACCGGAGTGCCGTTGTTGGTTCTCGACACCGGGAAAACGCGGTCGAGGGACAAGCGACAGCTGCAAATCGTGCTGGCTGAGCGAGAGTCTGGTTTCACCCTTTGGCGAGAGGTGAGTTCTTCGTGCCAAATGTCTTTCAAAGAAAAATTTCAAATGTAAAAACTAACCGATCTAATGGCTCTAGGAAGATCGCAGATACTGTATATCCAAATACTGTACAAAAGATGTAAAATTTTTGAAAAAAAAGAGAAAAACAAAATAGACGTGCGCGTTTCACTCCGTGCCGTTTTGGATTCACTGGCCAATCGCACGATTGTTCCTGAAAAGCATCGAATTTTTTCGAAATAAATGAAAAATTTGATTCAGTTACACAAATCGAAAGCTGGCAGGGCAAACCTGGTTTCACCTTTTGGTTAGATGCCAGTTCATTGTGCCAAATTCCTTGAAAAATGGAAACCTTTCAAGTGGCTTGGAAAGTTCACCAGATATATTCGAAAATACAATGCGCATTTTTCAGAAAAAGGAACCAACAAAATTAAGGTGCCTATTTCATTTGATGGCGTCTTGGAATTCACTGGCCAAGTGCACGATTGACTTTTTACAAAAAAGCTCTTGAAAGAATTGAAAAAATTGAGGTTCAGTTGAAAAAAAAAGGAAAGCATAAGCCTATTTTAACCCTTGATGGGCGAGAGGTTTTTTGTGCCAAACGTCTTCCACAGAAAAATGGAATCTTGAAAAATAACGTCTCTAAGAACTTTGAAAAAGCTGGTCAAATATATTCGATTATAAAATGTTCACATTTTTGGGAAAGACAAAAAAACAAAACAAAACTCGAGGTACTTCTCTAATTCTCTATGGCATGAAGGATTCAAAGCCTAAAAGCGTGCTTGCTTCTGACAAACACAATCTCTTGAAAAAAAAATCAAATTAATGTTCAGTTACACAAACAAAAGACTGGTTTCAGTAAAGCTTACTTTCATCCTTTGGCGAGAGATGAGTTCATTGAAACGCAAAATTTTCTTCTGAAGAAGTATTTCGACTTCGCGTAATGACATTTCTACTTGAAAAAAAGGCCTTTTCACGCTCAAAAAGAGGTGAAACAAGATCAGGATACATTCTACAAGTCTCAGATTCACAGATCAAAATTATCAAATACGTGATTGCTTCTAACCGAAGCAATCTTCTGAAATGAAAGCACTTTTGAAACCAATGGCATAAATCCGGGATATCCCGGTCGAAGGACAAGCGGTAGCGGCAAATCGTATGACTCATGGCGCCAAATTCTTTCCGAAGAAAAATTTGAAATGCACTGGATAACGTTTCTACTTGATTTCCAACAATAACAAAAGCCGAAGGAATTTAATCGAATGGAATACTCACCTTTTTTTCGCGAACAGGGAATAAGGAAAAATCAGGGTGCGTCCTGCATTCTACTGTACGGCGTTTCGTAAGATTGTTCGTGACCGTCGGAATTCAGTACAGTATTTTGAAAGGAAAAAAGTTTAAATTCAGCTTTAAAATATTTTCACTATCGTTTTCAGCTTTATGGCCTAAAAGTTAGACACCAGATGAATAAAAGGAATGTCCGAAAAGATTTAGCAGTTGATGTAATACCAACGGAACTAACGTTTGATTCTGAAAAAAAAGACTTTCTTGAAATCACTTCTCGCTTTCGCGAGTAGAATTGATTTCTTTCATCTTTGAGGCGCACGAAAAACGTTTGCCCTCCTTATATTCGAGAAAATAATGTGGTACTGCATTCAATAATTCATTGAATTTGAGTATTACTACTGCATGAGAAAATTCAGAGTAAAATGCCTTACTAAAATTCATGGTTGCATCGTACAACGGAAATCATTATCGCTTCAACCAGGGCATCTCTTGTCAAAGCGTACAAATTTTGGATTGACAACTGAGTAAACTCGTAATTTTATGTCCATGGGTAGTTCGTATAGTGTGATGGAAACATGGTTCATATTCCGCTGAAAACTTTCCATGTTATATCAAATGCATGAATCATGACTGTGGTGTTTGTCAACGAATTTATCATTTTACTTCCTTGAGGCGGATCAGTGACGATAGATTTGAAAAATTGAAAGGAACATGAGACGGATCAATTCAATTTGTCTTCTTGATGTAACGAGAAAAAGGCCACAGTACCTTACTAGAATTGCACATTTTATAAACAGGTTCATTTCCACTATACCGCCAATCGTTGAGATGGTGTTTGAAGATGGCAGTAGAATTTGTTCAATGGGTGGAAGGTAACGCAGTAAAGTAAATACTAATGCACACAGATCAAGTTGAAAAACAGTTTGTCATAATAACAAGAAAACCCAAAGAACTGAAAAACATTATTTTGTGCTTCACATATTCGTCAGCCTCTACTGTAACGACACACGCGTCGGATTATAGAGTAAAACTTCAGAAATTCAGTGTAAAATACATTATTGCTCGTAAGTGAATTGAAAGCAAGTTTTGTGAGGATATTTTATTTCATAAAAATTTGGACTTCGAGAGAGGCAACAATTAAAACAAAAACAAATATAAAGAAAGGTTTACAAGAAAATCGGAGGATGGGTTTCAAGGATCCCCACTTGAAAGAAGTTGCTGCTTATCATCGTGACTCCGACAGAAACATTTTTCGTTTGATTTATGCTATCTTGACCATGAATATGCTCAATCTACGGTCCAATGTGTATCGATCAACAACCAAAAAAGTTTTCAGAAATTTTAAAAATTTTCACTTATGAAAATCTTGGGTGAAATTCGCTGAAATTCATTTACATATTGATACAACGAAATCGATTCCCGCAAAATCATTTGCGAAGTGAGGCTATCTCAGGATTTATTTCTATGTTCTCGCCTCGTCACGCGTGTATCTGCTTTTCTTTTTTTAATTTACAACGTGAAATCCGAATACGAATTTTATACCTATCCATGCGAGGCACGACTTCCTCATTTAATTTTATCTTCTTATTTTTTAATTTTCTCCTCGCAGGTAATCGATAACCTGACGGACTACCGCGCGTCCACGGACTCTTTCCACACGATGTACGCGTCCAAGAACCACAAGGTGATGTTCGGCCTGAGCTTCGACTCCTCAGAGTAGAGTGTCCAACAGAGGCTGGGGTGAGAGGAAGTTCACCGGAGTGCCGTTGTTGGTTCTCGACACCGGGAAAACGCGGTCGAGGGACAAGCGACAGCTGCAAATCGTGCTGGCTGAGCGAGAGTCTGGTTTCACCCTTTGGCGAGAGGTGAGTTCTTCGTGCCAAATGTCTTTCAAAGAAAAATTTCAAATGTAAAAACTAACCGATCTAATGGCTCTAGGAAGATCGCAGATACTGTATATCCAAATACTGTACAAAAGATGTAAAATTTTTGAAAAAAAAGAGAAAAACAAAATAGACGTGCGCGTTTCACTCCGTGCCGTTTTGGATTCACTGGCCAATCGCACGATTGTTCCTGAAAAGCATCGAATTTTTTCGAAATAAATGAAAAATTTGATTCAGTTACACAAATCGAAAGCTGGCAGGGCAAACCTGGTTTCACCTTTTGGTTAGATGCCAGTTCATTGTGCCAAATTCCTTGAAAAATGGAAACCTTTCAAGTGGCTTGGAAAGTTCACCAGATATATTCGAAAATACAATGCGCATTTTTCAGAAAAAGGAACCAACAAAATTAAGGTGCCTATTTCATTTGATGGCGTCTTGGAATTCACTGGCCAAGTGCACGATTGACTTTTTACAAAAAAGCTCTTGAAAGAATTGAAAAAATTGAGGTTCAGTTGAAAAAAAAAGGAAAGCATAAGCCTATTTTAACCCTTGATGGGCGAGAGGTTTTTTGTGCCAAACGTCTTCCACAGAAAAATGGAATCTTGAAAAATAACGTCTCTAAGAACTTTGAAAAAGCTGGTCAAATATATTCGATTATAAAATGTTCACATTTTTGGGAAAGACAAAAAAACAAAACAAAACTCGAGGTACTTCTCTAATTCTCTATGGCATGAAGGATTCAAAGCCTAAAAGCGTGCTTGCTTCTGACAAACACAATCTCTTGAAAAAAAAATCAAATTAATGTTCAGTTACACAAACAAAAGACTGGTTTCAGTAAAGCTTACTTTCATCCTTTGGCGAGAGATGAGTTCATTGAAACGCAAAATTTTCTTCTGAAGAAGTATTTCGACTTCGCGTAATGACATTTCTACTTGAAAAAAAGGCCTTTTCACGCTCAAAAAGAGGTGAAACAAGATCAGGATACATTCTACAAGTCTCAGATTCACAGATCAAAATTATCAAATACGTGATTGCTTCTAACCGAAGCAATCTTCTGAAATGAAAGCACTTTTGAAACCAATGGCATAAATCCGGGATATCCCGGTCGAAGGACAAGCGGTAGCGGCAAATCGTATGACTCATGGCGCCAAATTCTTTCCGAAGAAAAATTTGAAATGCACTGGATAACGTTTCTACTTGATTTCCAACAATAACAAAAGCCGAAGGAATTTAATCGAATGGAATACTCACCTTTTTTTCGCGAACAGGGAATAAGGAAAAATCAGGGTGCGTCCTGCATTCTACTGTACGGCGTTTCGTAAGATTGTTCGTGACCGTCGGAATTCAGTACAGTATTTTGAAAGGAAAAAAGTTTAAATTCAGCTTTAAAATATTTTCACTATCGTTTTCAGCTTTATGGCCTAAAAGTTAGACACCAGATGAATAAAAGGAATGTCCGAAAAGATTTAGCAGTTGATGTAATACCAACGGAACTAACGTTTGATTCTGAAAAAAAAGACTTTCTTGAAATCACTTCTCGCTTTCGCGAGTAGAATTGATTTCTTTCATCTTTGAGGCGCACGAAAAACGTTTGCCCTCCTTATATTCGAGAAAATAATGTGGTACTGCATTCAATAATTCATTGAATTTGAGTATTACTACTGCATGAGAAAATTCAGAGTAAAATGCCTTACTAAAATTCATGGTTGCATCGTACAACGGAAATCATTATCGCTTCAACCAGGGCATCTCTTGTCAAAGCGTACAAATTTTGGATTGACAACTGAGTAAACTCGTAATTTTATGTCCATGGGTAGTTCGTATAGTGTGATGGAAACATGGTTCATATTCCGCTGAAAACTTTCCATGTTATATCAAATGCATGAATCATGACTGTGGTGTTTGTCAACGAATTTATCATTTTACTTCCTTGAGGCGGATCAGTGACGATAGATTTGAAAAATTGAAAGGAACATGAGACGGATCAATTCAATTTGTCTTCTTGATGTAACGAGAAAAAGGCCACAGTACCTTACTAGAATTGCACATTTTATAAACAGGTTCATTTCCACTATACCGCCAATCGTTGAGATGGTGTTTGAAGATGGCAGTAGAATTTGTTCAATGGGTGGAAGGTAACGCAGTAAAGTAAATACTAATGCACACAGATCAAGTTGAAAAACAGTTTGTCATAATAACAAGAAAACCCAAAGAACTGAAAAACATTATTTTGTGCTTCACATATTCGTCAGCCTCTACTGTAACGACACACGCGTCGGATTATAGAGTAAAACTTCAGAAATTCAGTGTAAAATACATTATTGCTCGTAAGTGAATTGAAAGCAAGTTTTGTGAGGATATTTTATTTCATAAAAAAGTTGGACTTTGAGAGAGGCAACGATTAAAACAAAAACAAATATAAAGAAAGGTTTACAAGGAAATCGGAGGATGAGTTTCAAGGATCCCCACTTGAAAGAAGTTGCTGCTCATCATCGTGACTCCGACAGAACCTTTGATTTCTGCTATCTTGACCATGAATATGTTCAATCTACGGCCCATTGTGAATCGATTAAAAAAAAAATTTCAGAAATTTTAAAATTTTCACTTATGAAAATCTTGGGTGAAATTCGCTAAAATTCATTTACATATTGATACAACGAAATCGATTCCCGCAACATCATTTGCGAAGTGAGGCTATCTCAGGATTTATTTCTATGTTCTCGCCTCGTCACGCGTGTATCTGCTTTTCTTTTTTTAATTTACAACGTGAAATCCGAATGCGCATTTTCGACCTATCCATGCGAGGCACGACTTTCTCATTTAATTTTATCTTCTTCTTCAAAAATTAAAAGAGGAGCGTCCATTAGCTATTGGACTGCCTGATGGCGCGCAGGTGCCTGAGAAAGGTGTGCTACATGCGCAGGTTCTTGGTGTTCCACTACAAGCCGGACTCGAAGCTGAGGAGTCCTGCCGCCTCGGACTTCCTGCGACAGATCGAGACGCTCACGTCGAACCCGGTCAACATTTCCCTGTCGGCGCCCAAGGGCAAGGCGGCCAAAGCGCAGAGTGCCAAGGCCCTGAGTGCCAAGTACAAGCCGCCGCGCAAGTGTGATATCTCCTCGCCCTGCTTCTTCGAGCACATCACGAACCTGGGCACCGGCGACACCCAGCTCTACACCGTCCAGGCCTACGTCAGCGGCGGCTCCAGCAGCTCCAGCACAGTCGAGGGCTCTGACGTCTAATCACCCTTTTCTTCTTCTTCTTCTTCACTACTTATTGTCTCGCTTAAACCCTCAAAGTGAGAAGCAAAATACGGTACAGTCAAAGCTCGATTTAAAACGCCACTCTGCCACCCCGATAAACTTCTATAAGACCGCCATACGCCCACATCAGTGATGAAACATAAGTGTTTTTTGTTGTTGCTTCGAATTTCTTGCAACGCCGAGATTGGGGCAGAATTATAATTTCTGTCCAGGATATTGCATTGCAAATTTTTTATTCTTCTGAATACTTTGAACAATAGATAAATGTAATTTAAAATTTCAAGTAAATTTGATGGAGTGAAAATTCATTTTCTGAAAGAGAAATTCATAGATCACAGCAATGCTCTTCTGCTAAGAAAAAAATAATGGACTTCGGCTTTTTTTTTGGGAGGTGGAACTGAGTAATTTTAATCGAAAATTCAAAATGAAGCGTTCGATAAACCGCCAACCCCTTTGAACCGCAAAAATTTTGTTGGCCAAATGGGGGCGTCTTATACTGTATTGGGGTTTTACGGGGGGTATGAAGAGGTTAACCCTTTAACAATTCTATGATTATATGCCGAATCTAATAGACGTGTCACTATTTAACGATTTTTTATGATTTTTGCCATTTAATTTTGGTGATGCTAAATGTAAATTCAATTGAAACATCGCTGAGCAAATGAACAAGAGGGTGATTTGAAACCTTCACATTGATTGAGCAACTTCGATACCGAAGAACGTCACTTCAAAGTACTGCGAATACTTTTTAACCATCCCTCGTATTTTTCCATCAAGTTGATTTATTATGACCAGCAAATATTATTTAATAGAATATGATGATTTAACGTTGGAAATGACTCAGTTTTCTTCACTTTCATTTGCAAACTCTCAATAATTTTTTGGAATGATTCACGAAAGAAAGCGAAGAGCAGTTTATCGTTCCCGAACGATTTCAGGTTTTCGTCGTCGTGTCATTTAATTATTCCAAGCTTACGACTGAGAGAAATATTAGTGCAATCTTCCATTATACTGTCGGGGTGAAAAAAATTTACTTCAAAAACTTGATTTTGACTTGCAAAAAGACTAACTGAACGAAAGAAGCATTTCGTTATGCTTGATTATGATGACATCTGACCGATGAGTCCTTCTTTTGGATGCCTCGAGTCAACTCAATTATAGCGGTGTTTCAAAAGTGGATTTTTTCGGAAGCAGGGGTGTTTAGCTTTTTACACATAATTTTTACGCTCCTTTTTCGATGAACAGATCATTCGACCTTTCATGGGTCAGGTCCTTTTTTTTTTTACCTTCCAGAAATCTGGACGGTGAGTGTCAGCTGCTGCGAGTCGAGTCCGTGTTCCCGCGAGTGCCGCTTTTTTTTTTTTTAAGAGAAAATGAATGAGTGCGTTGGAATTTTCTATTTATTTGAGTGTTATTGCTCAACGCATCGGCGTTACAAACCGTTCTGCTGGTATTTATTTCGCCAATTGTGCCATCGCGGAGAGAGTTTGTGAGAGTCGCGTTTTTTGTTTGTTTGTTTTGTTCTGATGGTCTTGAAAATTTTCAACTTGAAGACATTCGAAAGCATGGATCAA